AATCAATAAAATTATATTATCACAAACTAACTAAAATGTATTCATGTAATAAATGCCGATATCTGATTCAACAAATTTGGGTCTGTTTGAGTCCTCGGGTAATTGGGATCATGAAATGTTTGTTCTTTTTTATCACATATTTCAATATATCTTTTCCCCACTCATACGTAAATGGATATTAAGGCTGTTTCCTCATCTTAACAATGTTTCTATAATGAGAATGAGCATATTAATATTTATTTTATGATGCCTAGATCATTTCTTTAGAATGAAACCCAAAGGTTCAATTGCTGACATACACTATCAATTAATAAGTATGCAAAGTCACTGATGAATATACCTTGTCCCTGACAATTAGTGAAAAACTTCCTGGCATTTCATTAAGATTTCCAATGCTTTAGGGATAATCTGCAAATTGTGTGGTATCTCCTTAGGGAAAACATCAAACAGTTAAAAAATATCCATTAAATGTCCTCCAAGGTTCCATATAGAAACATATGGAAGAATCAAGAGAGAGGCTTCATTACATGTCACAGAGACAGAAAGTTGGTATCATGTTACAGGTCCTGAATCTCCACAAATGACTGGATTTTCTTTGGCTTTTTCAACAAATGTAAGTGATCATTTCATATCTAGTTTTTGTGATTTCTATTTCTCTAAGATGTTTGAGCAGAAATGGGCATTCTCCCTTTCCTTTCTTTTTCCCATTTTGTACTATTTTTGAAAATATTGAAATAGATGAGATAGGAAGAATCAGAGAAGTACACATGGTATGCATTGTTAGAAAATATTTACTTTTGTGTATGTTTGCCTAAATGTGCATACATATAAATGTATAGATTTACATCTCATGGAAGTCAAAAGGCAACATAAAAGATGATGCATAAAAGTTATATATATATATACACACATATATATGTGTGTTTACATATGTACCTATATGACAAAATCTGAAGCTGCAATATTTCAGTCTCTCATTTTTATATTCTCCCAGATATTGAATTAGTTGACTCTATCCTCTCTGGTGATCCTTTCAAAAATACTTTAAAAAGTCATAATTGTGTGAAAAAAAATATGTGAATGTGATCTTTTCCAGATATGTTAATGCAAAAAAGAATACTTTTTCACTGTATACGGACATGTGCAAAGCATTATTTAGGCTTAGCAGGATTTTTAGTAACCTATTTTATGCTTGTGGTAAAGTGCTTTTCATTTTGCTGTGATAGCTGAGTAAAATTTGAGTTTAATCTTAATCATTAAAAATCCCATTATTCAGTAAAGTTAGAAGTTTATCAGGATAT